ATATATATATATATATATATATATATATATATATATATATATATATATATATATTATTTTTCTTAGTCAAGTGATAATTTATCAGTTAAATTGATCGCTGAAGTAAGAAGTATAACTTGGACATATATATATATATATATATATATATATATATATATATATATATATGCGTATTTCTTTTACAGACCAAACATGTATTTTAACCTAATGTATTTGTCAATGCACTTAGTTGTAGTTGAATATTAACCTCACGGGTTAAACAGTCTACAGGAAAGTCTTCTTACGGGGATTGGCTTCCTGAACCTGTCATATGACATAATATTTGATTGACTCCTCGGATATCTTGATATAACCAAAAATCAAAAACAACAAAACAAAAAATAACAAAAAAACAAAATTAAAAAACATGCTTAAACACGAAAATACACATACACACATACGAGCAACTAAAAACATTGAAGAGAACTCGATATAAAACAGCCGTCTCGTAGTATTTAACAAGCTAATTAATCATATGATGAGATTATTACTGGTCCAGTGTGTTCGATTCCCTCTGGGTGGGAAAAAATCAGGTATATATCTAATATATCTCTTTGTAGAGCAATGGTTTGCTCTGTGGAAATGTCATATCGGATCCATTGTTAGGTCTTTTAGTCGGTGCTCGCTGCTGTGCTAGACAATCTTCCTCGCCAGAATCTATCTTGCATATTTATAAGTTTACAATTCATCCTCGTTTTGAATACTGCTGCCACATCTGTCTGGTTCTCCTTCTATATATTTAGACATGCTAGATAAAATCCATAGAATAATCTGCAATATTATTGGTCCTGATCTGGCATCGCACCGTCAGTTACTTTCCCACTGTTGTAATCTAGCTTCCCTGTGCCTTTTCTATAAATGCTTTCATGGTAATTGTTCTGATGAACTTTCCTTGGAGTACATAGACTCTATGAAATTAAGCGCAGTACTAGAATGGCGAAAAGTTCTCATCATTTTACAGCTGAAATGGCTAGATACAGACGTAAGTTCTATGCTGGCATTTTCTTCTTTCGCAGTTCTCTCTTGTTGAACTTTCTTCCGGCTTCTTGCCCCACAGTCAACTTAGAGAATCTAGAACTAGAATGATATAATTACGCAGACAAACCACATCCATCCGTCCTGGGTATGTCGATAAACTACATCCGACTGTCCTAGCTATGATGATAAACTACATCCGCGTCCTGGGTAAAACGATAAAAAGCACGCCGTCTGATCAGAAGGTTTTGAGGAGCGTGGAACCACTTCTTAGTTGCTGATGTTCCCAGGTCCACCCTGACCCGGGGTAGTAGCATCTGTTAGGGTCCAAGCTATGGGCAAAAAGTTAACGCCTCAAACTGGGGTCAATACTATGTAAAAATAGGTTTTAATTCTTTGTAAAAATTTTTTACCAGTAATAAATATTTGAAGGAAACTTTTATTATCAGCAATATATTTTTGGGAAAAAAAATTACCAGCGACATATTTTTTGAAAAAAATATTACCAGAAATAGATTTTTGGAGAAAAAAATGTTTCCAGTAATAAAAAAAAAATCTTGTCGACATTAAGGTTGATATGTCGTAAAACAAACGAAACCAAACCAAAATCGAAAATGACATTTCTGGGTTAGAACTACAAAATCCTCACTTTCCAACTGAGAGAATACAAAAACGTTTAGACGGTCTTGTGGATGATGAATTATTTCCACCCCAAAACAAAACAGACAAAAATTTGCTAACCACACGCTGTTTTCATAGTAGATGTTCAAACGAGCTACATTTCTTTGCCATCCTCCTTGCCAGGCCTCTTTGCCAGGCTTCTTTGCAGGTGCCTTTGCCAGGCTTCTTTGCAGGTGCCTTCGCCGGGCTTCTTTGCCAGGCTTCTTTGCAGGTGCCTTCGCCGGGCTTCTTTGCCAGGCTTCTTTGCAGGTGCCTTTGTCAGGTCTCTTTATAGGCGTCTTTGCCAGGCATCTTTTCCAGGCCTCTTTGTAGGTGTCTTAGGCAGGCCTCTTTTCCAGGCGTCTTTTCCAGGCCTCTTTGCAGATATCTTTGCCAGGCGTCTTTGCCAGGCATCTCTGCCAGGCCTCTTTGCAGTTGTCTTAGGCAGGCCTCTTTTCCAGGCGTCTTTTCCAGGCGTCTTTGCCAGGCCTCTTTGCAGTTGTCTTAGGCAGGCCTCTTTGCCAAGCCTCTTTGCAGATGTCTTTGCCAGGCGTCTTTGCCAGGCGTCTTTGCCAGGCGTCTTTGCCAGGCCTCTTTGCAGTTGTCTTAGGCAGGCCTCTTTGCAGTTGTCTTAGGCAGGCCTCTTTTCCAGGCGTCTTTTCCAGGCCTCTTTGCAGATATCTTTGCCAGGCGTCTTTGCCAGGCATCTCTGCCAGGCCTCTTTGCAGTTGTCTTAGGCAGGCCCCTTTTCCAGGCGTCTTTTTCAGGCCTCTTTGCAGATATCTTTGCCAGGCGTTTTTGACAGGCGTCTTTGCCAGGCCTCTTTGCCAGGCCTCTTTGCAGATATCTTTGCCAGGCGTTTTTGAAAGGCGTCTTTGCAGGCCTCTTTGCAGGCCTCTTTGACAGGCATCTTTGCAGGTGTTTTAGGCAGGCCTCTTTTCCAGGCGTCTTTGCCAGGCATCTTTGCAGATATCTTTGTCAGGCATTTTTGACAGACGTCTTTGCAGGCATCTTTGCCAGGCCTCTTTACAGGCACAGGCGTCTTTGCCAGGCCTCTTTGCCCGGCCGCTTTGCTGTCTTATTTATTTACTGACTTAGATCTATTATCATGCGACATTAAAATTGAAATGATGTAACTAAAAATTCAAATCCACCATGCTATTTTGTTTACAGTTACGTAGTTATATTTAGTCCTGATTTAAATAATATATTGTTTCACTTGGTACAATGTAGTCATCCAGGGCAGTGTTTAAGATGAGAGGAGAAGGTGATAAAATTAAACTGGAAGGAGATCTGGTCATGGGAACATGTTCGTCTGGGTTTCCTGATTAAGTCTACCTATACCATGTTGCCATTCTCAGGAAATTCTTTGGAAAATTTCTGATAACCCTAAGTGTATGTGTAGTGTACATGGTACTCTAAGACATCCTTTATCTTAGAGTACCATGAAAGTACAAAGAAAGATACACGTGGCGACATAATCAATTCTTGAAGGTGTTTTACCTTTCCTTCAGGAAGATGATTGATGATATCAATGAAGGAAAAGGACCTACCAAACAAATGATGACTAAAATACAGTTTCACAAAGAAGACAGGAAGGCCACCAGTAAAGGATCTCAAATGGAAACAATGGAGAATGAAAGATGGTCGGGAGAATGATAAATATCAGTAGGCCTCGATCCTGTACTTGTCTTTCCTTTTGTAGCAACAAGCCAACGACCAGACCTAGTGTTATGGAATGAGAATGTCATAAAGGCATTGTTGTTGTAACTGGCAGTCACTTGGGAAGACAATTTGGAACAGGCAGTGCAGAGAAATGATGAGAGATGTGAAGATCTGATAGACAAACGTGAAGAATGTAGATGGAAAATTGAATTCTACCATCTAGCTATGAGATGCCATGGTTTTGTCGGAAAATATATTGCCTATGTGCTCAGAAGACGGCTACACCAACAAGGAGATAAAAAGCGTGGTAGCTGACCTTCAGGAGACGGTGAGACAAAGCATCGCATTTCATCTGGTTAAAGCGTGATGATGACAGATGGAGAACTATTGATGGCGGGAAAAAAACAGTTAGCACCGATCTAGAAGAAGCCTCCACAAAGAAGGGGCCCCCGCCAAAGCAGAATGCAGTAAAGCTAAACGGGCCGAAACTGGCTGGTATGGTTCCACCCGATGGCTAATTTGGGATTGGATACAGATATGGACATGCTAATTGGTTAAGTAGGACATTGTTTAATTTTACTTGTTTTGATTTGTTTTTTATGGTTTATCAACCTTTTAAAAATATTTAAATTTGAAACTGTAAGAATTTTGGGGGGGATAAAAGGAATTTTCTGATACAAGTCTTTCTAATTAACCCAAAGCAAGAAGAAGAAGAGGTGGAACCATACCTTTCCCAAGGGTATTTGTATGTAACTCAATATAAAAAACCTGATTGAAATTAGAACTCGGCTCACCAGTTTCTCATTCATTATCTATTACACCATTCGCACATCCACGCTTACGGCACCTGGTATTCCCCAGCGCTCGCCCATCTAAATACTGACCGATTCAACGTTGCTTAACCGGTGATCGTACGTGTTTCAATATGATATAGCTGTAAGTTTAATTATTTCTACAATCAAATCTGATTCCGGTTATTTAAAACTCTAAAGGGTTGATAAACCGCAAAAGAACAAAAAACAGACAAACAAAAAATGAATCCACTCAGAATCCGGAAATCCTTTTATTATCTGACAATCACAATGAATATGGAATTCCTGACGAGCTAAAAATGTTTTAACGCGCAAACTGTTTTAATGACAATTTCTTTAATACAATTTTATGCACATCTTACAAAGAAATGAATGAATAGCTTTTCGGGGAATGGAGAGTAATTTGACCCATGTAAAGCCGGGTACTAGCGCTAGTATTAACTGTTCCATATATATATATATATATATATATATATATATATATATATATATATATATATATATATAGTTTTAAGGTGTGCTATATTAATAGGATAAAGTGCTCAATATCAGGGATAGAGCGTGTGTAAATATAAAATGAACATTGAAGTCAACACTCAGAGGTGTTTCATGCTAGACGCAATTGTCAGGCCTGACAATTGCGTCTAGTGTGAAAGTCTGTCGCCTTTTGACTGTTGACTTAAATGTTCACTTTCATATATATATATATATATATATATATATATATATATATATATATATATATATACCTTGTATACTGTTTCAGAGCGCGATCTTGCGTAATCCCAAAATGTCACTTAACTTAATTGACGAAAATCAGTATAAATCGATAAGTCATAAATTGTATTTTAATACGATATCAAAGCACATATCATCTTCTAGACTTTTTCTGTCTATATTATCAATAAAAATAAAATAATTAAAATTAATGCTTATATTAATTAATAAATTATATAATTATACAAAATATAATTAAATTCTAATTATATTAATTAATAAATTATAAATTAATTATAAATTAATGCGTATAGACTTGTGTAATGCACGATCTCGCGTATCGTGCGACCCCCAAATTCTCACTTATAAAAAATGATTTTATCGTGTATCATAAGTATCCCTTATTTTGAGAGACCAAATTACAATAGATTAAAGTCTTTTTCCTTAGATCTTTATCCCATCTTCTAGTTAAATAAGTTAAAAAAGTAAAAGAGAATGATAAAAGTATCGTTAGTAATATTTTACTCATTGCATAAACGCCTATAGCCATAAACAACTGAACAAGAAACAGCTAAACATTTTATAAACGTAAACAATGGAAAAATGCATATTCACTATATTTGTACTTTATAATCCAATACTAATATGTGGATATTAAATGCATTATTATTGGATACAGTTAAGTATAACATCAGTCTTAACAAAATCATGTTTATTTTAAATACAGCTGTACTTTTGACAAAAGTAAATGGATATATATCAGGTCATCCCATAAGTTCTGTCCAAATTTTAACATTTGTTAAAATGAACGAAATTTCAAGAGTATTTTATAATGTCTAATGGAGCTGAATATTATTTTTATGTTTAGATGCATTTAAACTGATCAAATTTTATTTCAGAGAACAATAAAATTAAATTTTGTTTGATTAAAAACCCTGCTAACATGGAAGTACCCAAGAATCATTTGAAGCACATAATGCTTTATGAGTTCAAGAAAGGAAACTCAGCAGCCGAAGCGGCTAGAAACATTCACTCAGTTTATGGAGAGGAATGTGTGAATGAAAGAACTTGCAGAAGATGGTTTGCAAATTTCAGAGGTGGAGATTTCACTCTTGAAGATGAAGATCGAACCGGACGTCGAGTTAAGTTTGATGAAAAGCTTCTTGAAGCAGCCCTTGAGGAAAAATTCTGCTTTATCAGTTGAGGAATTGGCAGTGGTTCTCAGTTCAAACCATACAACTGTTCATTGTCATCTTCAACAACTTGGAAACGTTCCTAAACTTGGAAAATGGGTGCCTCATGAATTGTCTGAAAACAACCTCAAATCCCGAGTTGACATCTGCTCTTCTCTCCATTCTCGCCAACTTGTTTTACCTTTTTTGGATAGACTTGTGACTGGCGACGAAAAATTGATATTTTATCGAAATGTTAAGCATTGTAGACAGTGGCTTGGTAAAGGGGAAGGACCCCAGCCACAGCTGAGAAGGGAACTTCATGGGCAAAAGGTTCTTCTTTCAATCTGGTGGGATCACCAAGGAATAATCCACTTTGAATTCTTACCACCTAATGCAACAATTAATGCTCAAATATATTGTCAGCAAACTCACTACACTTTGGTAAAAATCTCAAAAGAGGTGATGTTTCATCAGGACAATGCGCGACCCCACACAGCAAGAATCATGTCACAAAAGATCGAAAAACTTGGTTGGGAGAAAATTCCTCATCCACCTTATTCTCCCGATCTTGTTCCTTCAGACTAGCCAAAAGAATTTTACAGTAATGGAATTAGTAAGCTTGTTAATAGATGGAAGAAAGTCATAGATAATTAGGGAAAATATATTGTTGATTGAATCTGTAATTAAATGTAACAATTGGTCACTTGTTTTCTTTATTCAAAATTCAGACAGAACTTATGGGATGACCTGATAGTTTGGTCAACGGCGTAGACAGGGTCAACAGTACATACGATAATCTTATATCACGTGTATGATGCGACCTTCTCAAAATTAGCTTCAAAAAATTAGGTCTTAAAAAGTCGCATAATACGCGAGTATATATATATATATATATAAAATTTATTTTAGGATATTAATAAGATCCAAAATCGCTGCACACTTGCAGTCGTTTCCTCAGACGATTGCAAACTACTGGCGGGTGAACTATTAATTTCGTAAGTACAATACATCCACTTTTTTCGAAAAAAAATGAAGTTTATAAGGCTTGGGTGATTTACCCTGACCAACCAATAGAATATGATTTACGTTTAATTCAAACTAAACGAAAAAGAAAAAAAAAAGGTTCATAGAAATTGGTCATTGTCAGGAATTATTTGCCGACATAAAGCCGGACATTAAATTAAAAACTGATACAGATGGTTACAAAGTTTATTCTCATCTTACCTATATATATATATATATATATATATATATAGCTTTTTCTAATATGTACCGCACATATATAATATATAAATAATATATATAAAAAATTGCACATAATTGAATATATATATATATATATATATATATATATATATATATATATAAAAGCATATATATATTAAAGCATATATTGTAAAATATAACAGACAATGTGTGTTTACTACTTTTAATCATGAGCCGTCCTAAATTTCATATGATCGCCTTAATTTCGGATGAAAATAAACACAAAAATTGTTCTACATTTGAATATTTTATATTAAGCTGTTCCTTGATCTAAGCTTTCGGTCTACATGAGTCATCTTCAGAGTGGTTATATATATATATATATATATATATATATATATATATATATATATATATGAACACAAAAAGAATATATTACAAAACAACACATTAAATGCGTTAGTTACTCAACATAACGACATTGTCAACAATTTTGATTTTAAAAGAGAGAACAAATTGCTACGATAAAAAAAATGTTTCGAAAGTGCTATCAGAGATAGAGCGTGTGTAAAATTGTAACATTGAAGTCAACATTAAGAGGCGACAGACTGTTTCATGCTAAACATAATCTGGCTTGACAATTGCGTTTAGCATGAAACAGTCTGTCGCCCCTGAGTATTGACTTCAATTTTCACTTATATATATATATATATATATATATGTGTGTGTGTGTGTGTGTGTGTGCGCGCGGGTTTAGGCAGCATAATTTCATTCAAGCATGTTTGGTTAAATAATTTAGAGGTATTATGTCTATTTATTTTAGTTTTAATCCTTTCAAGTCCACAAATTAATTTCTTGGTGGCTGTAAAAAATTCCAAAATTTTCTTTCAAATAATTTTTAGTTCATAAATTTTTTTTCAATCACTTCTGAGATCATCTTCAGTGGTCGATTATCTGTGGATATGCGTGTAAACGCCGCAAAATTCAAAATTAATTTTTTGGCCGCGATTCTTCTTATATAAAGAGCTTTTAGAATTTTTAGTTCTTGCTTGTTATTATCTTAGTGGAGTACTGTTTATTTTCGACGAATATCTGTCTAAACTGATAGGAAATAGTAATAATAATAATAATAATAATAATAATAATAATAAGTCAAGGAACACGAAATCAGAAAAAAATTCAGTCAGCCAAACAACACGAAAATAGAAAGAAAATATATTCAATCATGAAAGAATGTTGTAAATTCAAACGATATTTACATTTAGTGGATTCTGTAGAAAACCAAAACAGAACCCAAGAATCAACTGTTGCAGCCAAACATATGAAAAAAAAAGCCAAGGACAAAGCTCTTGAACAGATGAAATAACGCTAGCAAGACAAACCTCTACATGGCTAATATCCAGAACGAGGCTAATAAATAAATTGATAAAGTTAACACTCATCGATGGTTACGAGCATCTGATTGAAATATAGATCACCTAATTCTTGGGAAAACCAGTAATGGCTAAGTTGTGTGGAATGAATTACGAAGTATCTTAGAAATAATTCAAAAGTCAATCTGCGAAATAAATATTTCTTATAAAAAACAAAAAAAAATCATTTATACTATTTAGATTGTATAGAGTGTTGTCTTTTTCTTTATTGCCATATTCACGACGTTTCGACCGTTGTGGGCCCCGCCCTTCTTCAGGTGATATTTGTTTGAACTTCGAACCGAAGCTTTTATTTAGTCCACGGGGGTAGATTGTTCTCCTTCCACGTGTCATGCCTTTTCTGGATATGTCAGTTTTAGTTAATTCTCCTTGATAACTCAACAAGTATTTTTTCTCTCTCGACTGTGGTCAGAGATTGAACTCACTACACTTTGGCAAAAATCACTTTTTGATAAATAAACGCTTTTATTTACTGGGCCACTTGTGGACATTAATGAGATCTATAAGTCCAAAAACCTAACTCAGTAATTTTAAAAAAAAGGGAAAAGTTATTTAGCTTTATCTATAAAAGGTAGGATATGTGTGTGTGTGTGTGTGTGTGTGTGTGTGTGTGTAACTAATGCACGGTCGCAGTTTTCGACGGATTTGCACCAAAATTTTATGCGCATGCTCCAAGTTAGCGGAAAGGCTTTATTATTTTTTTAGAAAAAAAAAAGCGTATTATACATGGGGAATTACGGTAATTATCTGAACGGTTTCTTGAGGACGGAATTTTGATCGGAGAGAAAGCATAACTGTATATCGGTTGAACTGGGTTTACGTTAGAGGCCTAGCTGTTAATCCGGGATTATTCGTTGATCCGGGTATAGATGTATTTCTATGTTGCAATATATTTTATTAGCAATTTTTTTTTTGTCCTTTCTGACTGAATTTCTGGGATGAGGAGTTATTCTTTATTTCCATTATGGCCATTTGTATTATTGTCTCGTCTTTAGTACTACATGGCCTTATTGTTTCTTTTTCCTCATTTAACTCTCGAAATCCATACTGTTTATATCATCGAATGGTATTATTTAAACCAATGACAAATGGATGGGTGAATTCTGCAGAAGTACAATCTCTATCTATAAAAGGCAGGATGTGTGTGTGTGTGTGTGTGTGTGTGTGTGTGTGTGTGTGTGTTTGTGTGTGTAACGAATGGACGGCCGCAATTTTCGACGGATTTGCACCAGAATTTACATGCACATGCTCCAAGTTAGCGGAAGGCCAAGATCGACTTTGCATTTCCCAACTGCCATCGATAGTGGAAATAATCGATATTTTTCATGCTTCTACGACAGTTTTCATGTAGTTTGCGGCCATTTTGTACTGGTCAGAGTGAGAGCCTATAGCTGGCTGCCACGAATAGGCAAGAAGATTCTATTGGCCAGTGTGAGAGCCAACAGCTGACTGACACGAATGTTAACTAGCATGCTAGCATGCAAAAAAAAATCGATAGCTGCATTCGTCACAAATGGGAAAAATTTAAATCTGCATGGCACTTTACTCCAATTGGCTCATTCGCTTGCTTAAACTCAACGTTGATTCTGATTCCGCAGAACTGGGTTGGGTGTGAAAAAGTATTTGTTGTTAACATTCTTTTTTCATTCGGTTTTTCCAGTTACGAGTCCTTTTTTAAAGCTGATCGTTTTGTGTTCATTTTGTTTAGTTCTGTTTTCGTAACATATTTAATGTTTAGTATAGAACTTAGAAAAAATTCGCAGTGTGAGATAGACAAGAAGTAAGGCATGTAGCAACATCAGCACGGCAAAGGGCACTCCTTTAAAGGCAAGGAAGGGCAAAAATATTTTAAGTCAAGTGATAGCGATTGCTGTAAGAGTCGTACGATTTTTGAATCAAGCACGGGCAACGCCGGGCCATGCTGCTAGTCGTTATTAATGAAGAAATGTCGTTAAACTATTTGTTCTTTGTGAATTTTGTCCTGCGTTTAATTATGGACTAATAGAAATGACAAAAAAAAATTAAAATTCAGTGAAATAAAAATAAGCGAAACAGGAAAAACTGACTTTGATTGGCCGAGCAAGGTTCGAAATATTAAATCTGCTAACCTATGCTAGATATTATCACGTTTAATTTCACCGAATATTTTATCTTCGGGAAAACAAACAAACAAACTAATAACTCTAAAGCAATGATTCCCAACGTGAGACGCATGCCCCATCAGGGTGGGGACTATGGTAATATTTTGGTGGGGTATGCATTGGATGTGCACCCTTCGTCTTACTATACCAACAGAATAAGAGGGCAATTCGAGAATGAGATATTAACAGTGAGTCTGATTGAGAGTGTTAATGTTAATGTGTGTTAATACATACGATGCATATACAGTATGCATACATAAAAATATTTTGTGTGTATGTACGTACATGTGTCATTGACATACAGGGTATTTCCTGTTTCGCCATACTCACGTGTCTCGGACAACAAAGGAGAGGGCGTGATGCATGTCACTGGAAGAGCCCATGTTTTTTCGGCCAATCAACGTGTGTGAACATTCAGTTTGTTTAAATTCAACCACCATTGCAAGAAATTTGTTGTTGCAATGTCCATCTTCATATTTAGCTGAATATGGCTTTAATGCTGTAAATGATTTGTTATTGAAGAAAAGAAATTGACTGGATATGACTAAACGAGGAGACTTGACACTTAAGATGACTAAATTGGTGCCTAATATAAAATCTCTCTGTAGTACGCATGGCGCACAAGGATATCACTAACAGTCATTTTGTGATGAGCTCAAATTTCATTTTGCATTATTATTTCATGATTAAAGTATATTACAGAATAAACTTTCATTCAAATATTTTATATTTCTCTCTTTCAATTCTCTATGTTTTGAAACTATATATATATATTTAACTGTCTTTTTATTTTTTTATGTTTCTCTCTCATGGACGCCATGGTCTTTGGAGGCTTATTTAGAGACCAAGTTAATGGCTCTTTAAGCTTCCTTCACTTGAATTGCAGTAAAAGTTTGAATATGTAAGAATTATTTATTACAGGGAGGGCACCAGAATTTTAGAAATACCAAAGTCGGGCATAGCCCCAAATCGGTTGGGAACTACTTCTATAAAATATCAATCCCCGACAGTTGGGGAGATGAAAGATAATGATGAATGCGATTTTTTATCCAGAAAAAAAAAAAAACTACATTGCACGCGACGAAGCTCTTTGGTCAGTCACTGTGAGCGCTACGGTCTTGCAATGCATACGCTCACTCTATTGCATACAGATGCCGACTGTGTAACCCTACGGAATAATGTGTTTTCGCACATGCGCAAAATGGCCCGACGCGTCCTATTATCAGGTTGCAACAAAGCCATCCAAACGGTTCTCAAGAAATTCAAAATGTTTCTATGAGCTTCGTACCGACTACGTCTCGGGGAATCTTTTCAGCGACCTAAGTAATATGCGCATTATAAAAATGAAATTATTTGACCTACTGAGAATTTGGTTTCATCGGTAAACTGAACTATCGAAATCTTTTACCGGAACCAACATCCACCATTTTGTACACCCTCCTTCTCTGACTCCCTTCCCGTACTTAAATACTTAACAGGAAATCAACTCGCCATCCCACAATGCAAACTTCTCATCGGCAGCCCGTTGCCAAGGGCCCAAGCCGGCCGCTTGACTGTAAAGAGCGTCGGTGGCTCGAGCTCTTCAACCAATATCCGGAGCAAGGCATTGTTGAGGTTGTGCCCGCGGTGGATTGTGCTGGCCAGACGGAGGGATGGGTGGTTATGTTTTCTCGCCATCGCACCGGGCCAGGAAAGTAAAGAGAGACGATGGGATGAAGGAAGTATTTCCTAGAGCAGAAGGTATCTGATTACTGAGACAAGCCGACAGCAAAAAAGTAAGTCGTTTTAGAGAAGACAAAGAAAAAAACAGAAAAGAAAAACAGAAAATGGAAAGCAAAGAAAATAACGCAATTCAGTAGTAAAGAGACTAACATTTGGCGTGAAAGAAAGTGAAAGTAAAAATGAGAAAGGAAAGTGAAAGTAAAAAATGAGAAATGAAAGTGAAAGTAAAAAAGAAAATAAAGGTAGAAAATTAAAAGGAAATAACAGGAAAAGAATTTGAAAAGAATCTAGATAAGAAAATGAACACAAACACAAAAGTGAAAGTCATGAAATTCGAAGTGAAAGAAATGAATTTTAATGTATAAAAGAAAGCGAAAATATAAAAGTGGAAAAGAAAATAGAAGTAGAAGAGTGAAAGCGAAAGTACTATAAAGTGAAAGTGAATTTCGAATAAGGCGAAAGTGAAAGTAGATTAAGATGAAAGTGAAAGTACATTAAAGTGAAAGTAGAAAACGTGAAAGAAACATAAGAGTGAATGTACAAAAATGAAATAAAAACGTATTAAAAAGGTAAAAAGTGGGGCATTAAGTTTGAATATGAGAGACAATAAAAGTCAGAGTAGGGTAAGAAGAGTAAAGTGTAAGCGAAAGTAGGTTGCAAAAACAAGACTTACATAAAAAAAAACATTAAAATAAAGACAAACAGGTTTTGGAAAATTGGTTAAAGTATTGGCAAAACAAAACCTGATTTTTGGAGAAAATTGTGACCAATGAACATTAAGCAAAAACTCATTTTTCTATAGGGAAGCTGATTTAAATATTTAAAACAAATGAGACTGTAACAGTTAAAAACATATATACAATTCTTTATTCCACATTGTATAGCTATATTTGGAGACGTGCAACGTGACAGTTTTTTTCCTTTTTAATATTCTATACGGGCAACAGATAGAAAATTTGCTTTTAAGTTAAACTATCTGGCTTCTCCCGCCCGCTATCTGGCAAATTTTCTAGGAAAAATTAGTAGTTTTTCTATTGGATTAATGTTTACCATTTATGAAATGTTGAAGGGGTTGTGGACATTCAATATATTTGTCCAAAGAATATGAGTGTAACACCAGAAGAAATTAGACGGGTGTGAAGACAGGCTTGTTATAGTAATGGAAAGTTTTACAATTAGATGCCAACTTGTTGAAGGCGAAGTAAAATGCAAATTTAAAACAGTTTGCTGCACTATATAAGACAATATTCCTAAATAGCACTATTTTTGCTATGAAAATCAAAACAATTCTTGAATAAAAGCACAATAATGATGGACAGTTAATTAATGAAATATACTTTTTTAAAATCAATATGCAAATTAGTTAAACCTGAAAAGTGATATAGCCTAGAAGTAGATGGTATATAACTCAGATATTGAAGCTTTCGTAAATTGCTCTCGAGTAGTTTGTAACACGTTTATTTATCATCTCTCAGTTGCATCTTTGTCTTTGGGCAAAGTGCGCTCAGGGGCGGCTCCATCGAGGGACCGAATAGCAACTGAGGAAAATTATACTGCTAAACAGTCAATTAATCATGAATTTGGTTTGATCAGGAACGCAGTTCCTTAAAGAGCCTGTGTGTTCAGAAACTGTCCTCTCCTTACAACCACTGTCAATCTAGCTTCGATATTACACCAACCTCACTAACACAAAAAAAATCGCATCGCGGGCGTTATCTGACCGTGGGCTGTGGTTTGTGCAGGTCTACTTTAAATAGAACTGAAACTAAACGAAAGTGAAATTTATCAGCCAATTCATTCAATCAATGAAATTCAGTACAACGAAAATAATCATTTCTAGGTACAGCCATAAATTAAATGTTTTCTTTAAAGTTAAATTTTGCAAAATTTTATTTGAAACAAAATAGACTAACACTAATCCGTTATTTGGAAGATAATATACTAAACACAATTTTTTGTTTTTTAATCGAATCCCCCGCCAAGCAAGGCAATAAAGCCATTAAGACACGAAAGGTTACGGGACTTGGTAATACTAGAAAACAGAAAATTTACTTAGGAGCTCGAACAAAAGAAAACTAATCAGGAGGACAGTAAAAAGCGATTGACATTGCCTTGACATTTTAAAGATTAAACTTGGTCAGAAAGCATGCAATCCGAAGAGAATTCCACAAGCGAGAAGTACGAGAAGAGAAACTGTTAGCGAAAAAGTTACGGTTACATCTGGCCAACTCAACTGCAAAATGCTGAGACCACGTCGCTAGTCTAGTTGTACCCTTAAATTCATAAAGCCTTCGTACCATAGCGAAGAGCTCATCCAAAAAATTACCATGAAAGTATTTATCAAAACATACATTAGGCAAATTTACGGCGGTGGGAAAGTGACTGCAGCCGAGATGTCAGATCAGGACCAATAATATTGCTGATTCTACTTTGGATTTTATTAAGAATCTCTAGATAAATGGTCGGAACACCGCACCAGATCATATGTGGCAGCAATATTCTAAGCACGGGAGAATGATAGACATAAATATTTAAGATATATTCACGAGAGAAAAAATGTCTAGTACAATAACTTGAACCAACTAGCTGACCTAGCAATGTATTTGTTATGGCCCAGGTTAGGACCAAGGAAGAACAACACGAACACAAGAGTAGAAATAACGAAGGTATATTACACGAAATAATAATACAAGATGTGGCAGGTGTTAGTATGACTGTCAGTCTGGTTTGGAGTGAACTACTATCGGCTATGATCGATTCGATATTTATTTGCCCCCCCACCACCACCACGAGATGTGGCACAAGGCCAAGTTTAACGTGGGTTTCCAGAGCCCGTAGGCTCGGCCAAAAAATGCCCGTAGAACCCGTATAAACGGCATCGGGTTGGTCAACCTCCCCGAACGAGACTCTGCCCTTCGGCGAAGCCTCGTCCGGGTTCCTCTCTGCTCAGAGGCAGAGAGTTCGACCGTCAAGCCGAGAATCTCGGCTTGATTCGGTATCTAGCCCCCCTCCCCACGAAGGTTGCATATGGCACAAGGCCGAGTTTAACGTGGGTTTCCCGAGCCCGTAGGCCGTATAAACGGGATCGGGTTGGTCAACCTCCCCGAACGAGACTCTACCCCTCAGAGGCAGAGAGTTCGACCGTCAAGCCGAGAAGCTCGGCTTGATTCGTCCCTCTCTCTTGAGAGGCGTAGTATACATAGTGTTAGGAAGTGTTCAATCTGTAGTTATAGATAAGGACCTATGACAGTGGGTAAGACGATAAATCACATCCGCGACCTGGGTAAGGCGATAAACTACATATTCGTCCTGGGTAAGACGATAAACTACATCCGCGTCCTGAGCAAGGTGATAAACTACATCCGCGTCCTGGGAAAGACGATAAACTACATCCGCGTCCTGGGTAAGGCGATAAACTACATCCCTGTACTAGGTATGACGATAAACTACATCCGCGTCCTTGGTAAGACGATAAACTACATCCGCGTCCTGGGTAAGGCGATAAACTACATCCCTGTACTAGGTATGACGATAAACTACATCCGCGTTCTGGGAAAGACGATAAACTACATCCGCGTCCTGGGTAAGGCGATAAACTACATCCCTGTACTAGGTATGACGATAAACTACATCCGCGTCCTGGGAAAGACGATAAACTACATCCGCGTCCTGGGTAAGGCGATAAACTACATCCCTGTACTAGGTATGACTATAAAATACATCCGCGTCCTTGGTAAGACGATAAACTACATCCGCGTCCTGATTAAGACGATAAATCACATCCGCGTCCTGGGTAAGGTGACAAACTATATCCGCGTCCTAGGTAAGGCGACAAACTACATTCGACAGCAAGGCCTCTGATCATGAAGTTTTAAGAAACATGAAATTAATTCTTAATTGCTGCAGTTCCCAGGTCCACCCTTTCCCGTGATGGCAGCACATGTCAGCATCCCAAAATGGATCAAAACACTATGAAAGTATAAAAATAGGTTTTAATACCAGCAATACATTTTTGAAAAAAAATATTACCAGCAATACATTTTTGAAAAAAATAAATATTACCAGCTATAAAATCCTTGTTGACATTATATAACCCGCTTCGGTTGATATGCCGTAAAACAAAACAAACCAATATTTCAAAAAGAGTTCAAGGCAAACGTTCCGAATTATTCCCTTTTTGAACATCCATATAAAAGTTATCTAACAGTTGCTAAAATGATAAAAAAAAATATTTTTAAAATATGTTTACACTAGAAAATGGCATTCAACTTTAAATATTTCGATTTTTCAAAAAGACTCGATGAATTTTAAAATTACACTGAAAAATTATAATTTAAAAAAAAAAATAAATATTAAGTTTAAATTTTTTTTCCTGCCCAGTCTGAAAGAAAATAACGTGTTATATTGAATTATGCAAGCAGCAGCTGTCAGAAAAAATCTATTTTTTTAAGTTTTATTGAATTATTTTTGGTTAGGTTCCCCTATGGTCAAACGTGATATTGCAAAATTGTTTTACAAAAATTAGATCTTCAAGGATTTTTTTCTTTATATAACTGTAAAAGAATTTCTTGAACCCCCACCGAATTAAATAATACCACATCATATCGAAAAGGTGGTCAAACAGATTCCACAAATTATTTCCACAAGGTTTTTCTTATAAAATGAACTTTTTCAGGACTTATTCATGAATGAATAAATAGTGAAAAAATTCATTCTCTTCAGATAATCCCCTGATTTTTTAAATAGAGCGTCGCCATTTTTTTTTCCGGAAAAATACACCTATTTTGATGGTACCGAATTATTTCCAAGATTGGTAATGTTTGCGATATTCTTTGTTCTTGTTTGCTTTCACATGCGCCTTGACTGTTTAGCAAGCATCCACGTGGATCATCTCAGCCGTTTCCACAGACATTAGAAATAAAAGAATGAAATTGGAGTCTTAAAGAAACCGTTGA